GAAACAGCGACAGAGAGACAGAGACATCGCATGGTCAATATGTTGCGTCCATAAGTCACCTCACAGAGAGAGACAGAGAAACAGCGACAAGGAGACAGAGACATCAAATGGTCAATATGTTGCGTCCAAAAGTCACCTCACAGAGAGAGACAGAGAGACAGAGAAACAGCGACAGAGGGACAGAGACATCACATGGTCAATATGTTGCGTCCATAAGTCACCTCAGAGAGAGAGAGAGACAGACAGACAGACAGACAGACAGACAGACAGACAGAGGCAGAGAGAGACAGAGACAGAGAAACAGCGACAGAGGGACAGAGACATCACATGGTCAATACATTGCGTGCATAAGTCACCTCACAGAGAGAAAGAGATAGAGAGAGAGAGACAGAGAGAAAGAGAGAGAGACAACCCAGAGAGAAAGAGATAGAGAGAGAGACAGAGAGAAAGAGAGAGACAGACAGACAGACAGACAGAGAGAGAGAGAGAGAGAGAGAGAGAGAGAGAGAGAGAGAGAGAGAGAGAGAGAGAGAGAGAGAGAGAGAGAGAGAGAGAGAGCATAGTTCGATTCTAAACCCCAGGCTCTTTGGAGAAATCTAGAACAAATTCAAAATTGCAGGGCTACAGGGAGCATGATTATATACCCTCTTTTGATTATCGTCATTTTTTGCATTCATCATACAGAATTTACTGCAGTGAGAGTCCAGCTTCTAAGACTTCAAATTTCTGTTTATTGATTCTAAGTTTTCGAAATAAATGGGCTTTCCAAATTTTTGTTTCTATGTACCGGACTCCGATGTGGGTTTCTTTTTTCTTTTGTTTACAAATTCCTGTCCTTGACATTGATTCTGAAATTCATATATATATATATATATATATATATATATATATATATATATATATATATATATATATATATATATATATATATATATATATATATATATATATATATATATATATATATATATATATAATTCTTTTTATTAGATTTATTGTTATACGAGGAATTCATTGTTGAAGGTCATTGTGGATACGAGAAACATCTCTTTCGGGAGAATACTATTTGCAAGAGTATAGTCCCTTAACAAAGAACCCCACCCCTCAAAACAGAATTTATCTATAGTCAATATTCTTAAAATAAATCCATAAAATACCATTTGTACTTGGAATCGGTATGAAATATCGAAATTCCACGATTTGCGAGCACAGTTATAAGTAAACAAGAACTATTGTTATTGTCCTGCACACACACACACACACACACACACACACACAGAGTTGAATAATGAGTAATAGATTGATGTACTTAAGTACAATCGACTTGAACTGACGAGATACTACACTTTTTCCTATAGAGGATAATGAAAGAAACTTACAGTATTTAGGACTTAACTGGCTTTATATACGCTAACCATGAAACCTCATATCAAAAATAAATTTTAAACCCGGAATCTCCGTAACATGTCACCTAATTTGTCAAGTCTACCATAACGTTACCAGGTTGTAATTTGCACAACAAACATATCAGCCAACGATAACGTGCTCTTAGTCTGCTTCCTTGAATTCCAAAAATGTCTCGGACTGCGATAAAAATGCGTGTCTAGAGATACCGTACCTTATTTGGCAACAACATCCCATTAGTCTGTCGTAATTCTGTCTAAATGCTTATTATATCTATGAATAGATAAATTATTTATAGTAATAAATCGTCTGTTATTATGCACACCACGTCTTTGATCAATCCTGTTTGGAGGACATGTGTCACATCCGCCTCATTTGCATATTTTTTTTAAAAAATTCAAATTTACACCTTATATACTCGTTTATAAATGATGTCCAACTACAACCTGCACATACCTAGATATGACGGCTCATAATGCGCCGGCAGATTTGGGCCTTAGCAGTTTGTTAGAAGTAATCAATATAACAAACAAAGCCCCTAATATGCATGCACTTTGTGCTTCAGTTCTTTGCAGATCGACGTACTCTATTTGGCATTTCTCCATGATGAGTAAGCACTTTTTAGATTATGAATGAAAGTAAGAACGTAGTTTGTTCGCAGGGAATGTATAGTGAGTTGCATGTGACCCCCCCCCCCCCGGACGCGATACAAGAATGCAGTGGTTTATGTCTCTATGTAAACTATCTACCTTGATTTTTCTCATCCCTAATACATACACACTATTGAATTTTGCTCTTTTTATTGCACAACGGGAGAGCAGCTTAACGCAGTAAGCGTGGAAACAATCAATTTGGTCAATTTTCTTTGCTTGTACGTTACGCTTATACGATACACACATACAAAGGGTCGAACATCTAATCTTGGGATTGAAGAACATGTGAATTTTTTCGAACCATTAAATTTTGGGTGGGGGGTGATAGCCGCAAGATAACTACTTTTTTAAGTAATATAATCGATAGTATTTATAGTTAGATCTTTTATTACAAATCAGGGAAAGAATATTTTTTCAACCTAATCAGGGGCTACAAAGCATCAGCCTCCTCCATCCCACCCCACCCCACCTCACCCCACCCCACCCTACAACACCATGCCACAACCCAATTAAATTGGTAAAATGCCTAGGTAAATACATTCGAATTTACTGGAAAATAGTTTTAGATGGATATAAATGGTTTTCTATATTTTTGTTCCGACAAAACCTAATTAAGGTTTCTATTAGTGTCAGTTCCCACCTTAAGTAAATGGATCAGAATTATGTTTCCGAAACGAGAAAACATTCAGTGTACGTGGACTTTATCGTTAATCCCATATGAAAACGCCTGACCCTAGTGATTTACGCTATTTTTTAAATAGATAAAACTTACAAGATATAGGGAATAAAATGTTATGCTCTGATGTAACACAATTCGCTTGTGCAATAAAAACATCACAATTTTAATTACTGTTAAAAGCGCTATAGCATCAAACGCCAAAACCAAACACTAATGCAATTAACGAATAACAATTTCAGATTGGCTAATACCAGGTATTGCATCGCTTGTAAAATTAATGAATAAAAGCCGAAGATGCCTGGCAAGAAATAAGACAACTTTTCAGCATGAGTTTGAAATTAGTTGCGAATGGTTAAGCACAGGTCTCAAACTCGGTCTGAAAGCTCCAAAGCTTTACAACTAAACACCTAAGCTTTTATACGAGACCCTTGATACCGTGAACTTTATTCTACTCGTACATTCTTACTTGAGGAATGTAATGAAGGTCAGGGCACCAAACTAATTTTGGTGTGGTGTGGTGTGGTGTTTGTAATTTTTAACGTAGCTTTTAACAATTTTTCAGTCATATCGCTACGATGTCTGCAGTGTGGCAGTTTATAGTGATTTCTAGCACTGGGGCACCAGAAATGTTGTTGTTGGGCTTAACGCCATTTTTTCAGCACACGATAGGCTATTCATGGCGGCCAGTATTAATGGTGGAGGAAGAAACCGGGAAATCACCGGAAAGAACCACCGACTCACGAGAAGCTACTGGCAAGCTTTCTCACATATCCACATTCGCCGAATCCTAGACTCGAACACACGCAGACAGAGGTGAGATGGCAGTGATCTGTAACGGACAGCGCTTTAGACCACTCGGCCACTCGGGGCCCCTCACACCAGAAATGTAGCATAATGTCCCACCCAGTCACGTTATCCTCACACCAGGCTGACCAGTCCTAACACTAACCTCTTAATGCTGAGCGTCCAGCGAGGCAGCTGTTAGTACCATTCTTGTAAGTCTTTGGTATGACTCGACCGGGGATAGAACCCACCACCTCCCGCATCCGAGGCGGACGCTCTAACCACTAGGCCACCGGAGTGGGTTTTCTTTTGGTATGGCAAAGTGCCAAAAAGCTCCCGACTTAAGTGTACAGTTGAATGGATGAAGGTAATTTTAATAAACCGCTTAACTGTGCAATTATCTTAAAGAATAGTGTCCATATCTAGTACCACCCTGCGTCCAAAAATAATTTAATTTCTCTCCGTTTGAAATATAAAATATTTTGTGCAATATTAACTGTGTATTTGAGTTCGTGTGTCCAATCCTTATAGGGAGTGCAATAGATCTAACTGGTCTTGTACTTTCTTTTTCCTTTCGATAAATTAATCGGGTTTCTTGTCGCACCGGATATAGAAGTAAATGATTCTGAAGAATCTAAAATCATGCGTTGATAATTTGGCAACTTGTGGGACCAGTCCTTTGAATGTATAAGGTCTGTTGACTCGGCAAAAACTTGTGGGACCAGTCCTTTGAATGTATAAGGTCTGTTGACTCGGCAAAAACTTGTGGGACCAGTCCTTTGAATGTATAAGGTCTGTTGACTCGGCAAAAACTTGTGGGACCAGTCCTTTGAATGTATAAGGTCTGTTGACTCGGCAAAAACTTGTGGGACCAGTCCTTTGAATGTATAAGGTCTGTTGACTCGGCAAAAATGCAGATGTAGGAGGAAAGAAATCTTTCATGTTTGTGGCTGAAAGCGACCTTTTAAATGAACGCGGATTCCAATACCCTTATCATAAAGATAGGGACCCCGTTTCTGGTAAGTTGAAATATAAGATTTACTCCAGCAAAATTCATTTACTGTGTTGAAATCTATAGTATTATTTTAACAGTATTATGTGAAATCCAGTTTTAAAAATCGGAGGAATTTTTTTTAAAAATCCTTTTTTATCAAACATATCTTGTCTTTACAGATCAAACACATGTCAGATTTGTCCGCGTGAGTTCGAATCTCTGCTCGACTAACTTGGGTATGTGAAAAAGCTTGCTAGTTTTTTTTTTCCACGGGGTCAGCGGTTCTTCCAATGTTTTTCCTCCACCAAATACAATGACTGTCATAAGTGACTACTATGTACAGTCTGTCATTTGCTGAATCATGGCATCACACTCACAAAACAAACCAAACCAAATACATTTCTGCCATACATTACGTAAAATCGTACTTTTGTCTTGTGATTCTATTAATCATTGAAGCTTAAGAATCTAACTAAAGCTATTTACTGCTTTGGTGACCTAGTGGTTAGAGTGTTCGCCTCGGATGCGGGAGGTCGCGGGTTCAAACCCTAGTCGGGTTATACCAATGACCTATAAAAATTATACTTACAGCTGCCTCTCTATGCGCTCAACATTAAGAGGTTAGTATTAGGACTGGTCGGCCTGATGTTATGATAATGTGACTGGGTGAAAAATGATGCTACATGTCTGTGTAACGATGCTCCAGTGCTTGATTGGGTGATACCAGGGATGATGTCTATGATGAAATCATAAATTTATACGAAGGGGAAAAAAACACAGAAAAAATGGGCGACCAATGGCTTAGGCATACTTTAAAAGAGGGTCAAATTTCGACCCCTATCCTTGACTTTTTGTTTAGTCCAGAGGTCAGTTCCAGTTGATACTTAGATAATATATAGTCACGTATGGAAAGCCATCGCCGCCAAAAATATCATCAGTTTGTTCAGCAAATTAGAAATAGTCCAAACGCCATTCATAGCCTCTAGAACTAATGACTTTGTTTCTGTTCCATTAACTGTCTGGACATTTTGGAATTTTGTAAACGTCATTAGCAAGACGATCGTAGTGCTTATTGCACTTCCTCAATTAACATCTCTGCGATTCCTGATTCCCCACAATACCTTTTTTTAAAAAATCACAAACCAGTGGGTTTTTTTTTTCTTTTTGGTTTTCTTTTTTTTTTCTTCTACACATGGCTAGCTCCACGCTTTCGGTAATTGAAAATATTTTGATTACTCTGATATTGATATTCATCCTACTTTAATATTCATACATTCTATAATCACGCAAATTCTAGTGAAGTTCAAACATGTTTTTTTTTTTATATTTTCGGCATATCGTGTGAGTTGTTATCATCTTAGTTATCCCCCACAAAACCATTAACCATCGATACATCTGGGGGAGGGGAGAGAGAGCCAATTTATTCTACCGTTATAAAATCTTAACAATTTTGCATCACATGAAATCACTGAAAATCTTTTTTTTAATCATATAAACTGATGTAGTTAGCAAACATTTATTGAGATTGCATATAATTTTAGCACAACGAATGTCGTTACACGTCCATTTAAGGGAAAACTACGAGGAGAAGTTCACGTTGCTTCTCGTGATAACTGACCTAGACGACCTCAGCTTAAACAAATATGCCATCTCCAAAGCTTTCCTAATTAATGTGATTTGTATTGCCTTGAGCAAGCCTCAGTAACTTCCTGAGCGAACGAGGAGCCCGATTTGGATCATTTTGGACGGACTCTGCTCCTAACATGATGCCCCCCCCCCCCCCGTGAGCACTGCATTTGGAAATAAACTTACTGTGTAAACAAGTTTTATATAATATTGATCTTAAATTTTCTTCTATCACTTTAAAATTTATAACGCCCGTGGCCCTTTGAGCGCGGGGCTTGATTGGGCCAATCGGCCATAGGCCGGCGTTGGCAAACCTTTCCATTTAAAAGTTACGTAATTCTTGTCGGTTTTCCATCGCTGTTAAGACCTCACACGAAATGATCGTGAAAACTTAGACTTTGCGTTTCGTTATGAAATATTTATTTATGACAGGAATCTGGTAAGTGGATAGAAAATAGCATCACGTCCATTTCATTAGGATTGAATTTAATTAACGATTGACCATGCCTTAAGGGTTTCCAGATCCCTTTTTAGAATATATTCGATAGCATTAATATTATAAGCAAAGAGTCTCGTTTTCGCATTGTATCTCGTCAACAATATTGGGTAACATAAAGAAGAAATAGTTGCGGGTCTAATACTGATATCGGTGGAGCCTCAGCATGAACAGGCTTGAATTCTGACAGGCGCGTTTTAATAGTGTGCACTGTTTCCAGTTAGATAAATAAAGTTGAAATTATACCCAAAGTGGATGACCTATTCGAAAAGCTCCCCTGTTAAATCAGAGACAACAATGCCCGGCCTTATCGAAAGCCTTCATATCACAAAACACGATACACCTTTACTCATTTTATCTGGCCACGTTTGATGATAAGTATCAATAAGCTGAAAAATAGAAGAGCGACATGGCAGAAATCCAGACTGATAATTAACAAGAAGACAACCTTTCTAGACAAAGTTACATAGGTATTTAAACAACTTTTTCAATAATTTTCGCTACATAACTTAAACGTGAAACTGGTTACTAGATTCAATGAGTATTCTCTCATCGTTTGTAATATTAACCTATCTTCGATTTCTCCTTCTAGTTCCTCTTCTTGCAACTGCTGTTATATTTGTTTGTCTCTTTTCTTTATCTTCAATTGAAATTCTCTTTATTATTTCGCAGATGCATCTCTCTCTCTCTCTCTCTCTCTCTCTCTCTCTCTCTCTCTCTCTCTCTCTCTCTCTCTCTCTCTCTCTCTCTCATTTGTTGAATTGCATTTAATTTCTCCTCTTTATCTTTCTAAAGACAAATTTTTCTTAACTCTACTTCCATCTTGTTTTAATTTCAGTTTCTTTAATTTCATGTCAGATCCAGATATAGCCTCATTAGTCAAATCCAAAGCACTTTCATCCCCAAAATTATTTATTTTCTACAAATATTCGTTAAAGAAACCTTTGCAAGCTGAAGTAATTCATCTTTTTCCAACGACTCCAACATTTCATGTGTATAATTTTAAGAAAAGGTCACCACATTAGACAATATTGTGAAAGCTTGTTGGGTTCACTATATATTTTTAAAATATGTCAGTTAATACCTTGGCATTTTGAAAATTCCGAAAGAAATTGAATTTAAATTTAAATTTCAAAAACAAAGTTTTCTAAAGTATTGTAGAGAATTTCGCACATCGTACACGAGTCACTAATTTCATATTACAACTCGATGGTCTTAAACTCAGTAATATAAAATATCTAAAACCAACAAGTTTTGTAAAATTCGATAAATAATTTATTTCCCCAGATTTTAATGAAGATTTAAAAAGAACTTACAATAATGCAATTTAAATCCAACAATAGCCTAAAATTATATCACCAGTCTTAATGAGTACATTTCGAATTAAATTCCATTGGTATTCCAAAAAAGATCCAACGCTGAAGGCATTGATGTACCTGTAGTCTCGAATGTACTAATGTGCCAATAGCCTGAAGCGTGATGATGTGCGAACAATCTTTTGATGAATCAAAATAATATAATATAATATATCCTTGTTTGAATTCACTTAAATTCCAAGTTTCTGTCCAAGAATATTATCGAACACTTTGTAATTCTAGAGAATAATTAAAAGTCAAGCCCAAATCAAATACTGAAAACAACAATAAAACAGGTTCTGCCTAAAGATCTTAAAGCAAGAGTGAGTCATTTATAAAGTAAACAAGACTATAAAGCCCTCTACTTGACCTAGGTCACAATTAATAGTTTCTGAAAATACGGATTTATGGAATCTTCTATTTTAGAAGGTACGGTGTTCGTCAGCAAGATATAAGCTGTTATTAAAATTATAATAAGAATGTGGTAAGTATCAATAAGGTAAGCTAGGTATTTTATGGGGGAAATTCAGTATACTAGACCCAGATCCAAATAGATGTTACCTCGATTGATAATGATCTGAACACATTGCCCACACTCCTAGGTTTAATATTAAATATGTATTATATATTTACCAAAATAAAAACTTCGTCAGTGTCTCTAGTCAGGACCACAATGAAGTTGATTTTGGACAAAGTCAAGTACAAAATACGAAAAATAAAAATATAAACATAACTAAAAATTTTCGAGGTAATAATTCAGAGTTAGTGTCTCGACATTTTGAGTTATCATCCACTTAGTATTTCTAATCAGATTAATATCACAAAATTAATTATATTTAGAAAAATCGTTATCATCATCAATCCCATAACCTGAGAGGTCGTTGGGGTACCACAGTTGACTTTACAACCAATTCTCTCCATCTTTCCCTATTCTCTACTGCCCTTTGGGAATCTCCAAATCCCAAGCCAGTTTACTTTTTTGTTGTTGTTGTCTTTCCACATCTTTGTATGTCTGCCTCTTCTTCTGGACTCACGCACTATGCTTTGCAAGATTGTTTTAGCCAGTTCAGATGATCTTGAGACATGACCGTGTCACTTCGGTTTGCACTTTTTTTTTTACAGTGCTCAAGACGTTTTAATATGATCCGATGGCTCGTTTGATCCTTTTGTGGACTTCTTCATTGACTACATGGTAAATATATGAGATGCCCAAGATCTTCCGGTAGCATCTCATTTCGAAGGTTTGAATCCTTCTTTGTTGATCTGACGTGAGCCTTCGTGTTTCACAAGCATACAGAAAGATGGATATGACAATCGAGCGCTTCATTCTTATTTTGGAACCAAAAGCAATGTTGGTATCTTTCCATATTGGTCTCAACATTGTTATTGCAGCTGTTATCTGGGCAATCCTGCAAACTAGTTCTGATTTGGAACCCTCGTCTATGAGAATTTATCTCAAGTACTTGAAGCTCGTGACTCTTTTCTGCTTCTGACAGCTGACCTTTATTTCTGCACTGATGCTATTGGTGTTTTGTCATCAGTTTGGTTTTCGAAAAAAAAAACAACTTTAGTGAAATGCTGACATTTTATTTTGAAATTGCTGGCGAATATCTAAAAGAATTAAGTATTTGAGTTACTAAATCGAAGTAGTGTCTCCAAATTTCGAGATTTCAATTAAAATGCTAAGATATTTGAAATTCCAAAAATGAAAACGTGAGACCCTGCCGAAATTTCAATATACTAACTCGAAATTTGAAGATCACAAACCAAAAGTTAGAGATATTAACTCTAAATGTTGAAGTGTATGTAAAAGTTGTTGTACTTAGATGGAAAGATATAATCGTCAAAAGACGAATGCATTTGATTTCGACAAGACGTTCACAACACAATGCCCGCATGTTTGCATTCCGAACAGCGAAGTGATTGTTGTAGAAAAAAAATGCACTGAATACATACCGTAAATGTGTTACTGTCTTTCCTAAATGATTTATCGTAATCGAGCAATGTTAGGTCATCGCCATTCACTTTTAAATCAAAATGGGTTTCGGTATGCCCAATGTTATCAAATCGCTAAATTCGTTTT